TAGATGATCCTTTTTCCTGTTAAATATAACCACAATCAGTTAAATATTTTTGGACAAAAACCAAACGTGCTCACTTTTGACAAATATAAAGGACCAAAACTGCTCAGACATATATTTGGACCTACCCCAAACACAGTGGCGGAGCCAAAGTTTTCACTAAGGGGATCAAAATATGAAAAGTAAACACAGGAAGACGTCAAAGGGGGTTCAATATCTACAATATACACATAAAAATAATCTTAATCATATATAAACAGGGTAATTTTCCGTCAAAAGGGTTCAGATGAACCTCCTAGGCCCTACCTGGTTCCGAACCTGCCCAAACACATGGAGTAAATATCTATCCATCAAACATTTTGTCATTTCAATTGCATTATTACCTGAATTTCTGTGGATCAAATTCTCAGACATGGCTAACTACGTCTGGTGGTGGAGCTGGTGGTTCACAGTGGCGTTTAACTGTTGTTTATTGATGCAGAAGCCAGTTGTTTCCAACCCACAAACCAACCTGTTAGGCGAAGGCTGTAGTAACTATAATGCAACAAATTTACCTGATTTCTTCAAAAGGCTTAATGAAAGTTTTGGTGATTTAAGGAACCAGTTGTCTAAACATGATAAACGATTCGCCACCACACAACAGTCTGTGTATGCTATGGTCATATGCAGAAAGTATATGTCAAAAGCTGATTGTGTCTCCTGTTTCGATACTGCAGTTTCTCGCATAACAACTTGCGCTGGTGCTAATGGTGCTCGTGTCGCCTATGATGGCTGCTTCCTCAGGTTAGTTTCTTACTTAGATATCTCTAGCACTTAGTTCACATCAAATTTTCTTCAAAATTTAAAGAACGAACTGAACCTTTAAGTACTACTCCCTCCGTTTCATTTTGTTTGTTTGGTTTTGACTTGGCACGGAGTTTAAGAAAGTAAAAAAGACTTCTAAATCTTGTGGTCTTAAACTAAAGATATGTAAAATGTTCCAACATGTCCTTTAATCTTGTGGTCTTAAACATGTCATGTGAAAAGTTAGAATGAAAGAGTGGTCAAAAAAAGGAAAGAGGCATTCTTTTTCAAACTAACTAAAAAGGAAAATAAGACAAACAAATTGAAACCGAAAGAGTAAATAATATGCAGCAGCCTCAAGCTTAATCATGATAATCATAAGTGTTGTTTGGTAACAGTCAAGAATCATAACAGCAATATTTAAGTCATTATTGGCCTGAATACAAGTAAGAACTAAGCTATTAGTTTATCGTTATTTCAAATAAACGATCTCGTTTGGTATGAAATCCTCTTTATTCATCTGTGATTATCTTTGATTCACAGGAAAAAAAGTCACTGAAACTCAACACTGTGACAAGTAGAACTATTCCATACCTTATTGTGTGCAATATGTATACCACTTTCTGAAGCAGCCTATTTTTTAATTGTTAGAGGTTGAAACCCATAATGGATGCAGTGAACAATAAGTTTTCAGTAGTAAATTAAAAGAAGATTTGATTTGATGTAGTTACTGTACAGCATGCTTTGTTATGTTTCCACATACGTTACTTCTTTTTCTAGATTGCTTTGATTCCTTTTTCCTTGAGCTGAGGGTCTATCGGAAACAACCTCTCTACGTCTGAGGTAGGGGTAAGATCTGCGTGCACTCTACCCTTCCAGATCTCACTTTGTGGGACTACACTGGGTATGTTATTGTATTAAGAAGATTCATGAGCATGAAAATGATTGCTTAATACTCTAAATGATGCATTTTTTTTAAGGTATGAGAGCAACAATTTCTACCGTGAAGCTACAAGTCCAGCAAATGCTGAGTTCTGTGGGAATCGAACAGCTCATCTGCCGCATGCTTTGAACCTTGTGGCACTAGAGCTTTTGAATGATCTTAGCATGGCAACTCCAAGAATTCGTGGCTTCTCTGCAGCCATGAAGAGGAAAGAAGCTGGTGTTACTGTCTATGGAGTAGCACAATGTGCTGAAACCATCACTGCAAGCGACTGCCAAGATTGCTTGACAGTGGCATATACAAACATAAAAGGCTGTTTGCCTAAGCATGCAGAAGGAAGGGCTTTCGATGGAGCCTGTTTTATGAGGTACTCGAATAGAGACTTTTTTCCTGATAACCAGATAACTGATATCAGACCATTGCTTGGTGGAGGAGGTAGGACATGAAGCTCTCCTTTTCCAAACCTTACTATTATTAATTCATTGGCATAGCACATCTAGACACCTCTACTCGTTTTCACCATGTCAATTGAACACTCCAACTTACAAAATGATCATCCAGACACCTCCAAAATTTATGTTCCATGCCAGCATCGGGTGTCCAGAGACACTCTGGGGACGACTGACGAGTTGCAGTGTTTAGTTGTTAGTTGAGATCAAGTTGATGTGTCTAGATGTGCGCTCTCAAAGTTGGTCTGCTTAGTTGCCAGGTGTGGCCATGTTTGAGTGTCTGTTTATGTATTGTCCCTCATTCATTTTAAGACGAAGTTAAAATTGGTGGCGGTGTTTTATGCAGGAAGCTCAAACAAGAAGAAAGTCATCGTCGGGGGTGTAGTTGGAGGTGTAGGATTTCTTATGATTGTATTGGCTGTGTTCCTATGGTATCGACTATCAAGAAAACCACAGGCAGCAGAAAGAGGTAAGACATGGAAGATCACCTTATCAATTTGATGTGATCCAAAATACGAAACAAGAAAAAGATAGAATTAAAAGCAACAAATAAAGCTAGACGCAAACAATTTCAAAGAAGTAGACGATAACTATACTGAAAAGACAATAGAATCACCTTCTGCTAGTGAGAACAAGCATTGTATAAGTCCTTGAGTTCCTTTGCTTGGCCCCTTGTGATTGGCCTTGATGGAACTCGGGGTTTTCTTTTCTTCTTTCGTTTGTCCTTATGTTTATTTATGTAGTAACTGATATCATAGCTCGTGTTCAGGTAATATACTGGGAGCAACTGAGCTGAGAGGTCCTGTGAACTACAGATTCAAGGATCTAAAAAATTCTACAAAAGATTTCAATGAAAGTAATAAACTCGGTGAAGGTGGTTTTGGTGATGTATACAAGGTAGGTAACGCTGAAACAGTTGACCGAATCCTACTCATTTATCCTCCAAATTTAATTCATAGGATGATATTTATGTTATTGAACAGGGCACTTTGAAAAATGGACATGTAGTTGCTGTTAAAAAGCTAGCAATGGTATCTAGCAGAGCAAAGGCAGATTTTGATACTGAAGTTAGGCTTATCAGCAACGTTCATCATCGCAATCTCATCCGTCTTTTGGGATGTTCTAACAAGGGAGCAGAGCTAGTACTTGTTTATGAATACATGGCAAATGGCAGCCTTGAAAGATACTTATATGGTTGATTTTGTCTATCCGGCTTATTATTTTTTCTCCGAGTCAAGTCAAATCTTTATGTTCAATAAAAATTTAAACAGATCCTACCTCTCATGGTTTTGCAGGTGATAAACATGGGATGCTCAACTGGAAGCAACGATATGATATAATCATCGGAACAGCTCGTGGCCTTGCCTACTTGCACGAGCAATTCCACGTCTGCATCATCCATAGAGATATAAAATCCAGTAACATTCTACTAGACGATGAATTCCAGCCAAAAATTGCTGATTTTGGGCTTGTAAGACTTTTACCTGGGGATCAGAGTCATGTCAGCACTAAGTTTGCTGGTACCTTGTAAGTCAAACTGCTCGAGTTTCTTTCCTTATATCAGTAAAAACATTATGAGAATAGCAAACATATCAACGAGATCTAATTGAAACAGGGGATATACTGCACCAGAATATGCAATTCATGGACATCTAACAGAGAAGGTTGACGTCTATGGCTTTGGTGTTGTTGTTCTTGAAATAATCAGTGGACGGAGGAGCAATCATATGCAAGAAACTGAATATCTCCTTGAACAGGTCTGTTCTCATTTTCAAATTTCATCTTCTTTTCATATTATCACTAAGTTCTTTCTTCCAACAAAGCTTTCCTATTCGAAATGCACTTGTCACTTTGTTAAAATAGGCGTGGAAATTTCACGAAGCTGGCATGCATGTAAAACTGGTGGATGAAACTTTAGATTTCAGTGAATACAACGAACAAGAAGTGAAGAAAATCATAGAGATTGCCTTAATGTGTACACAATCACCTCCAAGTCTTAGGCCAAGCATGTCTGAAATTGTTGTCATGCTATTAAGTGAGCGTAGCACAGACAGGAGAACTCCTAGCAGGCCTAATTTCGTTAGCATGGATACGATAACAATCGCGAACTCATCCATGACTACTGGATCATCAGCTTCTAATGCAACCAACACTTTTACTGATATCACTGGCCGCTAGCTACATAAGAGTTTACTGTATATATGAAAATTATGTTGACACTCTAGCATCCAATTTCTTCCTTACCTTTTCGTTCTTTTTGTTTGTTTGTTTTGCTTGGTTGTAATATAGATGATTTTTGTAACTAGTTTAAGTCTGATATAGGAAGAGTGAAGCTACAATAAATGTATAAAATTGAAGTTATGGTCAAGATTCGCCCTCCGCAAGTGATGAGAAGTCTAAAGATTTGTTGAAAACATAATTAAACGAATAAGTACATCATCTCTAACAACTCAAGCTTTTAGATGAGATGGTCACACAGTTAAAGATAATACTAGAACTTGCAGAGATCTGCTGCTCATTATCAAGAAAAAATTCACGTGTTGGGTGCACATGACGGGGCATATTAAAGACATAATTAAGTAAACAGAAATGTTCTCTAACATCTATTAGATGAGATGGTCACACCTCTATAACCCACATCCTCATTGGAAATGAGAAAAAGCCTCATTTGAATACAACAAATTCCGGGTTCACAAAATTCTTTCAACTTGTAAAAAGGAAAGCAAAGAACTACATCTTTTTAGCAAGATGTTCAATTTTCATACAAATGACAAGAATGTGTTTTGAAAGAACCAATATTTTTCTGGTTCAGTACATAGCTCAGATAAAAGATCTTAATGGAAGTACTTACAAAATAACAACTATGAGAATCACCAGTACTCATTGCAAGAGCATTTCCCTTGGTCAAAATGGTGGAATCGATTTGTATCTCTCACTATGATCCTTCTTCTTGTTATTACGGACACAAACTTCATCCAAGAGTGACAATCAGCACAAATACGAATATTTTTTGTCACTCTAATTGGAATACCAGAACCAGTTTGAATCAGACCAAATACAGTAGCAAGCCGTTCACTATGCCCACATATCCACTCTGCTTTTGTTTCCTCGCTTACATCATGAAGAACAACTCTCGTATCAGGTTTATACCCAATTTTCTCAATAGCTTCTGATAACTCATCCCAAACTTCCTTGTATTCATCCGAATTACGAAATTCAAAACCACCACCAGCCATAAAAGTGTGTACTTTATTTCTAACTTGTATCCAGCTGCATCCCGCCTCCTTTTTTATTCCCTTATTCTCCATCATCTCTCTCACTTTTTTAACTCCCTCCCACATCCCTGCATTTGCATAAATGTTTGACAGCATCACGTAATTCCCGCAGTTGTTAGGTTCCATTTCAAATAACTGCTCTGCCACAAGTTCTGCAAGAGAGACATTTCCGTGAAGTCTGCACGAATTAAGCAGTGAGCCCCAAATGCTTCCACTAGGCTTGACAGGCATTTTCTCCACTACTTGCAGTGCCTCTTTAATTTTCCCAGCTCTACCTAATATATCAACAAGACAAGCGTAATGCTCCAAGGAAGGTCGAATTCCAAAATCTCCAGTCATACTCTCAAACAATTCCTCGCCTAAATCCGCAAGCCCTGCATGGCTACAGCCAGACAACAAGGCAATAAATGTCACACCATCCGGCCTAACTCCACTACTGACCATTTCATTAAACAACTTCATTGTTTCTCCCATCAATCCATTGATTGCATACCCATTGATAACGGTATTCCACGATGTTATGTCTCTGTACTTCATTCTTTCAAATACTCTTCTACAATACTCCATCGCTCCACATTTCGCATACATATCCAAAAGCGAGTTTAGTAAAACAACATCAGGAACATTAGTTGATTTAATAATTTGTGAATGTATCTCTCTCCCATAATAAAGGTACGTAACCTGAGAACAGATAGCTAAAATCGTCGTAAAAGTTACCCAACTATATCCCACATCCTCATTCTGCATCCTCTTAAAAGTCTCAAATGCCTCAAAAACCTGTCTTTTCTTAACAAAACCCGCGATCAACGAATTCCAACTCACAACATTTCTCTCAGGCATTTCCTCAAACACCTTCAACACATCCCGAAAACACCCACACTCAGTATACATTCCCAAAAGAGCATTGTACACAACTTGATCAGCTTCTTCATCAGCTTTAATAATCTGAGCATGAACACCCCTACCAACCCTCAAATCCGATATCCCCGAACAAGCTTTCACAGCCATGGAAAACGCGAAATTCCCCGGTTCAATTGACCGGAACAACATCTGAGAATAAATCAGTAATGCCTCCCTAAAACACCCTTTTCTCGAATACCCAATTGCCATTGCAACCCAAACTGATTCGGGTCGATCCTCATTTCCAATCGCGTGGTCGAAAACACGACGAGCTTCATTTAGATGATCACAAACAGAGAAAAGGGTGATTAACTTAGATAATATTAAAGGGTCGTTGAGAATACTTTTGTTCGAATTCAAAAGAAGGTGAATATATAGCCTGTGACCATGTTCTACTGATTTCTTCGAGATACAAGCATGGAGGAGAGAAGAATAAGATTCGATGTCAAGTTGAGAAGATTTTTGGGATTCTATTAGAAGAAGAGCTTCGTCGAGTTTTCCGGATTTGGTGAGAGATTTGAGAGATGAATTGAAGGGATTTGTGGGTGTTTTGTTAAGCTTTCTGAAGCTTGAATTGGCTTTAATGGTGGCTGTGACAGTTAAGTTAGTTGGTAGAAAAATAGCGGGAATCGCCATTGGTGGTGAAAGAGCTCGTTACACTAAAAAAATGGTAGGGAACTTTTTATATGGGATTTTTTTTTGTTTTCATCAAATTCTCTGTAAATTTAATCTCAAACTTAATTTCGGATATTACACCTTATCTCACATGCCAAACGACCCTTATTATATCGGACGAAATACAGGGCATGCATATTGTGAAGAAACTGTATATTCCCCTTGTTCTTTTTCTAGAGTCTAAGGTTCTTATTCATATTCTTATCTCTATTGTCAGTTGCTTGTTATTTCAGTATTTTTCGTTGTAATTCAATAATGTAAGTGTTGTCATTGTAATTAAGCTATCAATGATTATATATTACTTGAGTATTTGTGTTGAGGATTCAGGTTTGTTACAATGAGAATGAATACATATAGGAAAAACGAGGGTAGTAATCTTGCGTAATCTCGAATGTTATCAATTTCGGTACGTAGAGCAAATATACAATGCAAACAAAAGTTTCTAATTTTTTGAAAATATAGAACAACATATATATAAGTTATCATGCTTTCATATCCATCATTTGAGTCTCCAACAATTATTTTAATAATTACATATCCGATTTGGCCTTGGGACGAATATACAATTCCATGGATAGGATCAAACTTTATTCCATGATATTTACATGAGGTTCCTCTTTAAGAAAGTACTCGAGAGGGCTTAATTGATTCCTTATTTATGTTTCATCTTTCATTTGTTTCGAAAAATCTATCGATTGATTCTTTCTTTTTCTCTTGATTCTTTTCCGACCAAGAACTGTATGTCAACTTTTATAACATAAATGTTTGACAAAATTCGTTGAACAAGTAAAAAAAAGAAGTAATGTAATGCACTAAGTTCCTATTATTCCACAAATTCTATAGTATACTATCTAACCTTGCAAATCTATAAGAGGCAATTTTCACGTCTCGAATTCATGATCTTCTGATCACATGAAAACAATTCATACACAAACTATAGGAGACAAACCAAGGGAGCTCAATCCCTACACAAAACAAAGACAATTAGGCAACTTTATTATGCAAAAGGCTCGTCTAACTGTAGAGGAAAACAAGTTTATTTAGTCCGTAGTCACCTATATTTAAAACCTAAGCTAATGAATTATGACTAATGACTGCAAATTGATCGAATCAAACGGTTTTGGATTAAACGCTTATTATCATTTTAAAAATTTAAATGGATAATAAGGATGTAACTTTATCTATTAATTAACCCTATCAAACAAGTGTCATATTTGATCATGACTCCGACCCGAACATCAAGACTCTCGTGACCCTTGTCATAGATAGGATATTGACGTTATCCAACACGAACTAAATGTTAATGTACTTTCTTTCATGTGAGCTTCATTATATGCATAAGAGTTGTGCAAAATTTCACTTTGTAAGTATAAACTCAAGAACTAAATTAAAATATTTGTTTCGGACAAATATTTTTGATGCATCAAATTAAAAAATTCGAAACGATCAATGCCAACCCCTAACTAAAACGATTGACCATCCAAAATATTAGAATGGATTCATTTTAGTTTCTATTTTTATTCTATCCATTTTAAAAATACAATATTCACATCTTATATTAAAAAACACGAATTACAACCTCAATTTTTTTATTTTTTTCAAAAAAGAACCAAACATGAAATAAAATATACTTGTCTTCAATATTTTGTTGTGCCCACATGCCACAATTACCAAACATATCACAACAATTTGATTCTAATTAATATATGTCATTAATAATTTTCTTATTAACTTCATTACCTAAATCGTTAAATAATTTTCAAAATCCCATCTAAAAAACAAGAAATAAAAGATTGGATGAATACGAAATAAAGTGTTATCACCTAGGAATTCGATGAGATGTCTGCTATTTCACTAGCTTTTAATCAGAAGTTTCAATTTCAAATTATGTGAAGCAAAATATTTTCAATATGAAGCATTTTGCTTTCCTATTAGTTAGCTTACCAATGTCAATTTCTATTATAAAAATTTGATATTCAACTAGTAAATTTCAAATACCAAACGATAAAAATTGAGAAAGTATATATATATATATATAATAACTAATAAGATACAAAAGTAGCTATAAGATTACTATGACTAGGAGGGAATTAAGCACATTGTGACTAACAAATTATTTTTCAAAATAGTATGATAATAATATAATTTTAGAAATAATGATTCTTTTATCATTAAAAAGTTAAGATATTAAATTATTTATGCTTGTATAATAATGTTAGAAGTTTTATTTTCTATGAGTTTCCTTGATCATGTTTGTAATTATTTTAAACTATTAATGTATTTTTATAATTTTGTATTATTATACAATATATTCTAAATTAAAAATTTAAAGATCCATATATAGGGCTTACACCCCACGTCTCGAGGTTTACACCTCGCCCTATGTTAAATAAGACGTCCGCCTCACGCCCCTGCCTTTTAAAACACTGCTCAACATTGATTATAACCTATAGAGTGCAATCAAATTAACTTCCTAAAAAATATTTTCCAAACACTACCTTTTTTATATAATATAGAATAGGTGCTCCTACTTTCTTAAATGTGTACCTCACTATCATTGAACAAACTTAACTTGAAAAAGAATTAAGAACATGTTAATATAATATGATATTTTAAGAAAAAAGGAAAACATTTAAGTTGTACAAAATGAACAAATGAATGTATCTAATCAATTTTAGGAAAAATAGTTAATTTTTCTTGCTTAGGGTCAATGGATCTAGACATTAATATATAGTAGTAGCAAGTACACTTACTTATTTTGCAAAAATATTTATTAGAACAATTATTTACTTATTTAATCACCCACCATAAGTTCTATTATTAGTTTGGTTAACAAAAAAAAACCTTAACAACTTTCCAAAATTTTATATTAATTCGATAGTGAATTTCCCAAAATACCCCTTCCCCTTCTTCTCATGGACTTAAACATAATTTTCTTTCAAATATTTTAAAATAAAATTATTGATAGTGACACTTACTAATGAAAATATATAGTGAGATATAAAAAAGTGTCCACCCATATTAAAGTATTAGGAATACATGTCCAAAAACCAATTTAATAAATAAATCAAATGGAAGAAAATATTATTGATTTAGATACTGAATTATTGGATTAACAATTTTCAAACATTTTTACATATTTAGTTATTGGACCGTCTGGTTCAACTTTTAAGTTTTAGTTTACGATTAAATCGACGACCTAATAAGATTATAACTAATAGTGACTATCTCATTGATTTAATTATCTAATTAACATGTCTGCAACATATAAAAATGGTCATGAAACACCCCTACAAGCAAGTATACTAACTTATTTTATTGAGCATGATTAGTAGCATCATTATATGCTTGCTTAATCACTCCATTAATTAAGAGAGAAAAAGGTACCCATTAATTTCATTATTAGTTTTATTATAAACTAAAAACAAAGCAAAAAACATTTTTAACAACTTTACAACAACAATAGTATATTTGGTGAAATTTGAAAAGATTTGAGGACGATAGAGTGTATGCATACTCTATCACTATCTTATGGAGGTAGATAGACTATTTTCGAAAGACTCTCGACTTGAGGTATTGAAGACACCCTTAAACTCAACGCAAACTATTAGTTTGACTCTCAAGCCATTGACAGTCTTAAAAACATCTTTCACTTAACTAATTAAATTTAAAACCACCTCGATCTTGCAACATGAGTGAAATACACCCTTAAATTCTCGTCAAGTTTAGGGTGTTTTCAACACTTTTTTCGACTTTTTGTTAAGAGCACCATGCTCCTACATGTCTCATGTGGCAGATCGATGATGTATCTAATTTTAGTTAGTCAAGTAGAGAGATGTTTATAACTTACAAGGATGTCAATAGTTCGATGATGAAACTAATTATTTGCGCCAAATTTAAGAATGAAAAAATGTTAGTGAAGAAAATATAGTAATTACAACAAGAAAGTGCAATAACCGAAACATCATAAAAACGTCTTTAATAACTTTCCTAATTAAAATTTATTAGTAATAATCTCACAAAAAATATTCCCAAAATACCCCTTCCTCAACTCTAGATTTTCTCCCCTTTCTTTCTCCTTATTGTCTGAAAATCCCATCTTATTCGGATCCTACCTGTGACCCGAATCCGTTTTTCAGTCTTCCTCTGAAGTTTCTTCCACTGTTCGTTCATGGCATCTCTTTCAATCGTTGAATTTTGAATATAATACATAGTTAGTAAGCAACCCTTTTGGATTCTTAAGCTTAAAGTAACATTTCTTTCTTGATTAAAACTCCTTAACTTCTCACCAAACACTTTTCCCAACTAACACTTTTCCTTCAAAAATCTTCAAACCCACTCTTTTTTTCCATTGCTTCAGTCTAAAACTTCGAGATCTTGAAACCCTTTGATTATACTAAGAAATGAAGCAGTTAGCAGCTTTACAGCAAGGTCGCCGGAGCAATAGCTTTAGAGGGTCATCGGCGTTAGATTCGTCGTCAGATGGGTCTGTAAAGTCACCGGCGACTATTTTCTGGCTTGTGCTTCATGGGGTTTGCTGTTTGATCAGTTTGGTTCTGGGTTTCAGATTTTCGCGTTTGGTGTTCTTTCTTCTGTTTACTAACTCATCTTCTACTCCAAACAGTATTTATTCAGCGACCTCTTTGTTTCATGATCCGGGTGCTGATGTAGCTGTTAAGACGGAAATGACGTCATTTTCCGGTGGGGAAGATCAGCTGAATAGGACATCGGTGTCGAGTAGCCGGGTGGTGGTAGGACGGCATGGGATATTAATAAGGCCGTGGCCTCACCCGAATGCGAGTGAGGTGATGCAGGCACATAAGATAATGGAGATAGTTCAAAGGGAGCAGAGATTACAGTATGGTGTTAAGAGTCCAAGGACTGTAATTGCTGTAACGCCAACATATGTGAGAACTTTTCAAACTTTGCATCTTACAGGTGTGATGCATTCTTTGATGAATGTGCCTTACAATGTTGTGTGGATTGT